TAATAAACGAGTGGCTCATAGATTAGTCTTAAAAAACGACTGATGTAATTAAGAAGGTTACCTTTCTGTAATGCAACAAGAGCATCGCAGAGCCAGTAACGTGTAAACACATGCATGGATTTCATATTTTCCATGAACTTAAGTCAATATATTCTTCTCAACGATGACTCCATCGGTCTTTTACAATAAATTAATATGCCAGTCTTATATGTTATGATTAGGTTTCTTGATGGAGAGTGCTACAGAAACGTATAATGTATAATATATTTTATTATTTAATTAATTGTCAATCTTGTTTTATGCTTACCCCAACCGATCATGATGATGCGAATGTGAGGTCGAGATTATGATAACTTTTTTCTCTCATGTTGACTGGATGATATTTTCTTAGAGCACAAATGATGACCTTTGCCTAATTAAGTGGAAACTTAACAATTAATTAATGATAATTACCATGAGATTGAATGGTTATGGGCATCACATTTTGAGATGCATAGTGAAAATCGACATAAACTTCGATTCCTGAGCTCTTTTTTTCACCAAAATATGTCATCAAAAAGTCCCAAATGACTTTTTTTTTTCTTTTTCTGTAGTGCCACCGTCCGATTCTTAGGTAACGTGTAAACATTGATTTGAGGTTTCTTGAAGAAGAAGGCCACTAACCATTGAAATAAGGGATGTATTCTGGTTTGTAGAAATAAAGGGGGTCCAAGGAGTTATATAAGGATTTGCTTTAAATTAACAGATTATTTGGAAAGCTTAATAAATGTTTTCTTGGATTAGGGAACAGTTTTAAATTTAGAAGAACATACAGTTGTTCTAACTAGGTAATGATATTGGATTAAAATGGTGATAACAAGAAATATGTTTTTTTATTGGATTGTTGAATCTTCTAAAATTGAACCCAGAAGTTGTTGTTCAAACTAATTTTGCTAATTCTCTTAGTTATTTTTGAAATTATTGTTTATTTTTTAGTTTTGTATTCATTTTCTTTATATGTTAAGATTTTTAATTTTTTTTTTCTAATCTAGGTCGGTTCGTCTAGCCTATAAAAGATATTGCAAACCTCTTTTGAAGGAAGATTTGGTCAGATCTTTATTTTTAAAATAAAATAAAATTTTAGAGTTCTTTGTATTTTAACTTAATTCAATTTATTTTTTTATAACTATTTTTTTCTTATTGTGTTTTTGCCTACATCAATAAACTAGAGTAATGTTTCATTTAACAGCAACACCATCTCTCATCCTCTTTATTTTCTACATATCTATTTTGTTTTATATATAAATCAAATTGGCCTAATCTTCCATGCATATGATTCAAAATAGAATATACATACATAAATATTAACCAAAAATATCGTCTTCTACGAACATGACAATTTATATAATGCATGGAGAATGTAAGAGAACTATAAATTCTGATTAAAAAAAAAACAAATTGCAAGCTTTTAATATATATATATATATTGAAATGGAATAATTTATATATATTTCACGATTATAAAACACGATATTTAAATTCATTGTTATTCTTCTCTTTTCTCTCTTTTCATTTCTAATATGCAGCTTATTTCATGAATTTTTTTAAATTGCTGTGATTAGTAAAAGCAATAAGTTTGAATATCATGTAATTCAATCCTAATATATAAAAATTATATTATCTCATCTAATTTTTTTAATTTTTAATTTTAAAAAATAGTAAAAACAAAATTGGGAAATGAAAGGTGACTGTTAGTTTGGTGAACAGATCAAACATTAACTATCTGATCTTTCCGTGGACCTACATGTTCATTAACTCACAGATAGTTACTTCACTTCCGCTCTGTGGAGAAAGAGGGCTTGATGTAGATATCTTTGTCTGTAGCTACCTTTCTTCTTGTGCTCGACAGGATACGTTTCTTTCACACTTCAAAGAAAAACGTTATTGAGATTCTGTTTACATGTAAATGTCCAATCCGGTGATGCTGCCCTCTTCTTGTTTATCCACAATTTTAAGGTTTTTCTAGAATTATTGTACATTTTTTAGATTAATCATATGCACAAAAATATAATTTTTAATTTATTTTATTTTCATTTATTCGATTAATTGCAACTCTCTTGGATTTCTACATTAATCTTCAAGATAGAGATAGTTTTAAGAATTTGCATAAATATCAAAACGATAGACAATGAAGAATACAACGGTAGATAAACAAACCACGATGGATTGAGTAGAACAAATAAGCCAAAATTAGGATATTTGAATATTTGATATTATTATGTTCAATACATCAGGACTCCTTTAAATTTAAATAATTCTTTGCTTTTTCTGTGATTTTATGAGTTTAAAATACTTGATATCAGTTTCCCAAAAAACAAATTATTTTCTTAAATGCGTTATATTAATACGGGAGTTGTGCCATTATCCCTTAATTAATATTGTACAGGAAAAGAACATGGTGTCGATTTATAATAAAAAATCATGTCGAAACCTTACTCTATAATTTAATTTATAAAGTATTGAGCTTTTAATGATCAAGATTTTACTATCTCCATTCTTTTTATTATTATATATTAAACACAAGATGAGGCCAGGTGGATAGTCCTGTTGCACCGATAAATAAATAATATAAATTTCGAAATACGTACACACCATATATCTCATCATTGTCTACCTTCGTTTTCTTTTTCTTAATTGTCAAGCAACTCGTTATAACAATCTTGTCTTCTACAAGGAAAATTACGTGGAATGATCACAGTACTGCCGACGACGATATTCGCAACTAAAGCTGTTCAATGGCCAAAGGTGCTTGTCATGATCACCAAGATTATATGTTAAAATGTCTCTTCTAGCCAGCTAGCTAGGGCTTAATTAGTTGGCATGCAACAATAGGAAAACACATATACATGGCCAAGGGCACAAACTCGATCGACACCATCAATGGCTTCCTATGCATCTTTTTGCTTGGTCTGGAGGTTACATAAACAGGTGTTCGTGTAGGTTATTGCTTAACTCGTGATTTGATTAAGATTTTTATCCATCGTACAGCTTAAACCACCTTAATCATACGTCTGTGTGCTCCCATTCATCTTTTAATGGTGGGTTTAGGTCAGATATTGTTGGCTGAGTTTACTTCTAGCTAGAGACTTGTACATGAATGGCCCTCGCATTCACGTACAGTGTGGAGAAAATCTGCATACTGTATATATAGGATCATGATTAAGAAAATAAATTTGAATTATGTGCAGTGCTTGTTTTTTTTTGAAGAGGTTGCAGTGTCATTTTTTACTGCCATAATACATGTTTATTTATCCCTAAACTGATTATAATTAATGAAGATGATGATGTATTTGTTGGGAAATTGTTTGCGAGATCGATGGATTAATACATAGCCATTGTTGATTAAATACATACCATGAAACATAATCAATTCTTAATAACCTATCACCTCGATAAATTAACAACCTTAATTAAATAATATTTTTATTGAGTCCCAAGTTAAATTTAAGATTTAAATAATATCTCTGGGTGAGTTAATATTTTTTCATGATTCAAAAGATATTAATTTAGAGAGTTTTAAACTAGTAGACCAACCTCGTGTCTTGTGTCCATCGAAGGCAAGTGTCATGTAAAGAGTCAAAAATATTTATGAGGTTATAGAATATTGAGCTTGAAGATAAGACATGATTAACAGTCAAATATCTATATGGTATGTGAAATTAAGAATTAAATATCATAAAGTGTTTGACCAAACAAGGGGAATTCTTGAATCTAAATATCATCTCTTCTATTTATTATATATTTTAATTTCGAATAATAAGTGTTTCGAATATAATTAAATGGGGATGGAATTTTCCGCCTGCCATGCATAATGCTCACGTTCCCTTCATAAAATCTGAAGGCTTATGATATGGAAATGATTGTGGCACCAGGAAGGCTAAGATTTATTATATAACAATCTTTATCACTTGAGCAATAATATTTAATGATGAACTCTGAATAAGCAGATTAATTAGAGCTTTTTGATTCCCACCTTCTTGCAGTATTTTCAGTGTTAAATCGCTGCTATGGCCCTACAGCAACAAAGCTTCCAATATATATATATATATATATTTGGATTTTTCCTTAAAGGTTCTATATTCAAACTTATAATTAATGTGATAAATATTGAGATATCACTATCATTTATCATGAAGTATTTCATGACTAGATTAGTATTTTAAAACATGAACTGTGGTGGGGTAGATTTGAGATTTAAAGAATTTATCTAATATAATCCGATTAAAAATATGAGTTGACATATAACCTCGTTAATTTAAAAAAAATTCAATTAAAATATAATCTGACTTGATAGATTAATCTATAATTGAGGAAATTTAGAGCTTAGATTAGACAAGATTTCAATAAAAATAAAAGGAAAATTGATTTAATATAACCCAATTAAAAACTCTTTGATTTTTTTTAAAATAATATTATTTTATTTTTTATAAAATAAAAAAAAATTACACCCCATTATTCTTCTTTTCTTTTTCAAGAAACCTGACACTAATTTTAACTTGGAGATAATTATTATGGTAAATTCTGAAATCAAACTCTATATAATGTATCCCAATGGCACCACTTCACATGTCACACTCACCATATATATATATATATATATAATTCACAACCCATCAACTATTTCTTTTAGTACTAATTTATCATTCTTCTCTAATTTAATAATTTTTTCCCATCATGTGGGTCACCATGGACGTTCTAAAAAAGCATCATGAGGAGCAAACTCCTCCCCCCTCCCTCGCACAAGAATACACCACCCCAAACCGCAAATCTCAACCCTCCAAACCCCACCAAATCCAACGTTCCAGATTTCACAACCGTCATTTCCCCCCTCTCTATAGTCTCTATATATATCCAGCATTTCCCCAGAACCTCTCTTAACACATCCACACACTACTACCTCCTATTTCTCAACACAATCTTTCTCTCCTCTTCAAATCCTTGAAATCTAAGCCAAGGTAAGGATTTTAAGGTTTAAACCCCGGAAACAAACATGGGTTCTCTTTCACTTTCCTTAAAAGTTGTATTGATTTCAACTAGTGTGTTATTCTTGTTTTTGTATTTGAAAGTCTTTGTTGCATTAGTGCATGGTTCTTTTGTAAATCAAGCTGCTCTTCTATGGAGCTCTCTAATGTCTTGGCTTAAACCTCCTTATCTTTATGTTATCATAAACTGCATCATCATTATCATCGTTGCTTCCTCACGTTTCGACCGCAACCACGACACCTATAGTACCACTACTCATGATCATATTGAGAAAATCCCAATGGATGATTATTTTCATGGGATGAAGATTTCAACCGCGAAGACTCGGTTTGATGGAGCCCTGAAATCGAGGGCTCTGACTGTTTATCAGGACAGAGTAGAAGAAGAAGAAGAAGAAGAAGAAGAAGAAGAAGTTATCAAGGATAAGTGTATGGTGTTAGAGGATAGGGAAAATGGAGTGGCTGGTGATTTTGTGATATCCACGTCCACGTGGGTGTCGCCGATAAAGAGGAATGATTCGTCTGAGAATAATCTTTTGTTGCTGGAGAATCTTTCTCCGGCAGGGAAACCCCTGGTTTCTTCTAGGTTCGGTCATGGGAACGTTGTTAAAGCTCGTCCTGAAGGTACTATATATCCATCATTCTTTTCATCAAGCCTTTTTTTCTTGTTTTTGGTTTTTATTCTCCGGCCAGATTTCACGACCCACACTATTCATTTTTTCATGTCCAAAAAGCTAACTGGTCGGCGTCAACCTGGGTTTTTTCCGGCGCCGTTTTCACATCTTTTTTCTTTGTGCCAAAATGAAATTTGAATTTTGCCCTTGTACGCCGTCGTTTTTGTTATTTCAACGTTTAATTGATTCGATCTTTTTGCAAGACAAAAACAATAAGTTCAAGATTGGCATGTAATTGACGCTCCTTTACGAAACTCCAAAAAAGTCCTTGGATGACATGAATGTTTTATGGTATGAGCGTGTAATAGAAGCTTAGTAGGAAGGTCAAAACGGTCACAACAGTTTAACGACGCTGTGTATTTTCAGGTGGAAGGGCGTTAAGGGTGGGAAAGCCACAACCAAACGAGACGTTGGATACCATATGGAAAAGGATAACGGAGGATCGTGCAATGCCGTTAACAAGACACTTGAAGAAACCACAGACGCCCGTGGACACGTGGGAGAATCATGGCAGTCAATTTAGCACAAGTCGTATGGATCCACATGCGGTGAAAAAGTCAGAGACGTTTGATGGCAGAACCAATTATCAGCTGCCACCTGTCAGCTCATCATCTCCTGCTTCTGGGAAATTAAGGAAAGAACCTTCACTGAGTCCAGATGAGTTGAACCAGCGAGCTGAGGCCTTCATTAACAAGTTCAATGAGGAGATGAGGATGCAAAGGCAAGGGTCATTCAATATCAATAGAAGGAGATGAATAGCCATGGAGGGCGTCCTTAATTAGGTTTTAAGTTAATTGTGTGTTTTGATTAAATTAAAATTAAGTTTTGAAGCTAATAAAGCAATTTGGTGTCTTTTTATTAGGATAGGTTCCATGAACAGATGGGGTGGGGAAAAAAGGAAGAATATAATTTAAATAAAATTATGTTTATCATCTTATCCGCCATACTTTAAATAATTAGAATTTACATTTTAGATCAAAACCAATTTTTAAATTTAATAAAAAGATAAAATTATCTCGTGAATAATATATTAGAAACTTAAAAATTTACATCTTAAGATCATACTCGATCAAAGAACAAAATCAAAAGAAAACTTGAAATTTTTTACTAAAAAAAACACGAGGACGGGAGGAATTGAATGCATGAAAAGAGGGAGGCTTGCAAATAGAGGAATTGTATCCGAAAGAAGGCCATCCATCGGTTAACAATAGCGTCCAAATGCACATCATCCCCACCTAGTAACTTGTAATATTTAATATAAAAATCTTATAATCATAAGAAATAATAGTAAGTTTGTAAATAATTATATTATTTATTTATTTAATGACACCCATATAAAATTTAGAATATAAACAATAATTTTTAAAGCATCATGGGTAATTATAAAATAAACTAAATTACACCATGCTACGGACATGTTCTTCCTTTTTATATTTTCTAATGCTTAAAAGCATCCTGCTAAACTATCTGGAAAGTAGTAGCCAAAAGGCCGAGGGCAAACATTCATGGGCATCCAGATAATGTAATGGGATTTATTGAAAAAAAATGTAAAAAAAAGAAAGAAAAAATAAAGGAAGGAAGAAAGAAGAAGCCCTTCTTCTTTTTACCTGGTGTTTCAATAACTTGGCGTGTTGCAATCCAACAGCATGATGATGAGAGGGAGTCTGAAATTCTGGCTGACACTTGCATTAATGACCTCCTTGAAGCTTATGGTAACTGGTCGATAAGATTATAATTGTTTTACCTAGGCATCCATCCAAAGAATTATAATTAACAAAGTACACAGATGCAATATTCGAACAAGATAGTAAAAAATAAATATGGAACAAGTCACTTTTATCTTTTACCTAAATCCCCAATTACAAAATTTTCAATAACATGCCTTGATCATGTTCTTAGGACTGGTGTAATCAGAGAATTGCCTCTCAATTCTCGTGCCTTGATCATGCTAAACAAATTGCAGAAGGTCTATGCATGATTTCACCCTAGCCTGCTCATACAATTCGGTTAGAGGAATGTAGAGGACATGTATGAAAATAACACAATTTGTGAAAATAAAGAAAAAAGCTGAATGCTACATAACTTCGATGGAAATATACACGTCTAAAGACTCGATGAACAATTTGTGATACAAGGGGACAAGAAACAAGTCTCAACGGCAGTTAGTCAAAAATATAGTTCTTCAAAATTTCACCAGTGTTCATCCTCCCCGTTTTAGTCTCTTAATCCTCTCGAGGGCACCAAGACGACTGCCACCATCCTTTGCATCATCTTTCTCAGGCTCTTCCCTCTTCCCAGCCAGTCCACCAAACACAGCAGAGGGAACATCCTTCTGTGCAATTTCAACTTTTTCATCGTCTTCAGAGTCACTCTCTTCTGGAAGCTCAATGTCTTCCTGGTTTGCAGTAACCTGCATCCCTCCATCCGACTGAGACTGCACTCCAGCACTCACAAAGCCCACTGTCCTGCTGCTGTCTCTAGCAGTGGTTTTATTGATTGCAGGAGCTAATTGCCTCTCCAGAGCGGCCATTTCATCTTCAGGGAGCCCAGCCTGTTTCAATTTGTCTTTGGCATCATCAATGTTCAGTCTCTGATCCTTCTGCATCAAATACTCCGGAAGAATAAAATGTGTCTGCAACAGCAAAAACGAGAGTCAGAAGTTGTAAATCCAAACTCAAACCTTCAAAATAATGCAGTAATAAAGATAACACTCTGAATATAACCAAGACTGAGAATCCTCGGTACATGCATAATGATATCCACTTAGGTTTCAGGCAATCACGACCATGAGACACTAGGTAGTACAATGGGCAGCTAATTGCAGAATCTATAAAGAGATCTAAAAATTAGCATTGAAAGCTTGATAAGAACAAGAGATGATGGAAAGGCAAGTGATTTAACTATTATTTTGACTTTTTTATAGAAAAAACAAACCAAGCTGCTCTCTTAGCACAGTAATAACTCCTTTTAAAAGGAACAGGCCTGTGAAAAAAATAATAAACAAACCTGGCTATAGCTTGCAGACACACTTCGTTTAATACGCAACATTTCTCTGAAGGTATCTTCATTTCCATGTTGAACCTCAAACTCATGCCACTGGTTCCAGAAATCCAAATCAGATCGTGGATCAGCAAATTGGGATGCAAATACATATATGCCACGTGCACGGTCAATTTCTCCAAGGTTCTTCTCTAAGTCAGCATACTTCAAGCACATTGTCTTCACATCTTTGTCTGGAAGGCCAGACTCTATTGCTTGCTCATATATTTCCCTTGTTTTTGGAACACCAAATATCTCAGCTGCACGAGCAATATAAATTTCGTACATGCTCAGTTTTTCATTGTTTGGAACAGCCTTGGTTGCTTGGTCGTATACCTTCATGGCTCGCTTTGCCAAACCATAGTCCTCTTCTAGCTTTGCATATTGAAGATACAACGGTTTCACCGAGTCGGCAGGAGCCTGATTTGCACAAGAAAATTACACAAAAAGTAAGCATCAAAAGTTCAAAACATATTAGCAAAACAGTTCCAGTTCAAATACATTTAGCATCACCGAGTCGTGGAACAATAAACAATACTGCATTTAGCAAGATTGAGTTCAAATACAAGGCAGGTCACAGGATCACAACATGCAATGCATATGTCCATAAGAACCTGTGACTTCTACATGGTTAACATAAAAGGAGAACCTGGAGAATATACGGGTAGCTATAAAAGGTGGATGGTGTTCACAAATTGATCTGGCTTTGGGTTTCAGCGAGAAGAATGATGGGAAGAATCTTTGTAGGTTTGTGACATTTGCAGTGATTTGGTCTAGTTGTAAAGAGATGACAAGTGATAATCTCTGCTAAAACCCAAAAAATTGGAAATAGTAAGATAAGCAACACTACGAGCTGCTAAAGCTTAGAAAAAAACAAAAGCAAATTGAGAAACAGTAGGAAACACACTTCATCAGTGAAAAACTCTTGGACAGTCAATCCTCGAAAATGCTAGGCTTTTTTCCCCGATAAATCTATATACTAGATAAAGATGCCAGGCCACTAAATTAGCAGCAAGGTGGAGAAAAGGAGCACATTAGAGCTAAACCAAATCGTAGCAGAAGTTACAGTTACAGCATAAGCAGAAGCATAACAGATCTACGTCTAAATATCTGAGGGACAAAGCAGAGTCACCTGCAGTCCCAAAATCATGAGCAAGAAGGTATAAACCAGCAACAGAACAATTCGCAACAGAATCAACATGATAGCAAGGAAATGAAGCAAGGCTAACACTGCAGAGATATTTCAGCCATACAAGCAATGTGAAAATGTATGACGACCCCACAAACCAGTAATGGTTTAAGGTTGCAGCAACAAAGGATAAGGACTCAGAGCTTGAGCGATAAGTGGAAACTAGCCAGCCCCATTTACAGCAAGACTCATCAGAATTTATATAAGAGCAGAAATATGTGATAGCGGACAACATTTCAATAGCTGAAACAACCAAACAAGAACTGAGAGGAAAAAAATAAAGTGAATACCATTTCAATAGCATGTTCAAACAACTCCCTCGCCCGCTCTAGTTTTGTCTTGCCGTATCTCTTTACGAACTTTGAGAGATATGTGACCCAAATGTCTTTCACATGAGGATACTTGAATATCTTGACTCCCCTTTCATATACCTTGAATGCATCTTCAAAATATTTATGTTCCTGTATAAGCCAGTACAGTTAACATTTGTCCATTCCAGCCAGTAAAGGTAACAATTAAAGGAAAGTATGTTCCATGATAGCAATTATCGAAGGAATGTCCATACCTCTAGAAGCCAGGCATAATTGATGATGATTTGTGGGGTGGCTATGCGCAGGTCCAGTATCCGTTCATACACTGCTCGAGTGGACTCCAAGGTACCCAGGCCCTCCTCCAAATCAACATAAAAAGCCCAGAGTCTCAAGGACTTGTGAACCTTTATCTGAACTGGTTCATCCCCATCAGCAGCCACTGCAAGTTGATAACAAAAACCAAGACTAAGAGGTTAGCACCTGATTTTGATTCTCCAGATAGAGGCTATCCACAGATCAACCAATACAATGACTGAATTCATGCCACAATTTGTCAAATGATTATATTCATTTAAAAATTTTCGACCCAACTCCAGAAGCTCTATGACTAGAGAAGGATTAAGATACCTCATAAACATTATTCATGCAATAAGTTACGGTTTTGTACGTTTTGGGACTGCTTAGAATTATTGTATGTTTGTTTCCAAAAGCTTTCATTAATTAAACTAAGTTTGAAATTGTTATGATAACGAAGAACATGTTACCCTCCAATTTCAGTATTTGCTGCTGCCAAACAACAAAATTAACATGCCACCATAAAAGCAAAATACAATATATAAGGATGGCCAGTAAATGAGGGAGGCTTTAAAGTACCTCTCCGTTTGACCTCAACTGATGGTTCTGCAGTGGCCCGTCTCAACAGCTCAAGCGCACCTTTGAAATTCCTGTGTCTAATTTCCATTTCAGCCCACTCACACCATACACTTGCCAAATTATCAACAGTCTTGTAGTTCACTTGCACTGCCTTGTCAAAAATTACCCTTGCATTGACAAGATCATTGTGATCCTCATACAATTTTGCAAATGCAACCCACAAAGTATGAGGCTTCCCCACTGCTTTCATTGGATCCACCGTCCTCACAGCTTCAGTATACGTCAGAATTTGCTTCGTTGGATTACCCTCAAATAGCTTGACCCTCCTATGCCACTGCTCCACATTATGTGGATTTTGTCGAAGAAGCACACTGTTTGCCAATTCTGGTCTTCTATCCATTAAATACTCCAGACGTGCTAGCATCAAATCCACGTCATTGTCATC